TGAGCCTCTTCCTCACATGTTACCACACCGGATTCTTTTTAACCTACTTTTTATCCTGGGAGGGGGGGGGGGCTGTATTTACCTCACCCCTTCCCGGCCCTGATTTCTTCCTGAACTGACTGATCTTTTTTCTTTTCTTTTCTTTTGTTCAATGTGCATCCTATCGTAATAAGTAACTAAATTCTTCCTTACTTTCCTCTTTGGTATCGGTATATTGTTCTTCACAAGGACGTGGTGGAATTTGTACTTTAAAACCTCCATCAGTATATTATGCGTTTATGTAAAAGACGAAGAATGTTGACTTACATATTGGTAGGAAACTCGTGAGTGCTGGACAATCTGTTTACTGGTACAAGTTTTTAGTGAAATTGTAAATGAGTAAAACTGTTAAAGTTATACAGTGGTGTAGAAGTGTTAAGGGTGATTATATAAGTAAATGGAATACCAAAGACGTCGGGAGGAAGGTAGTCGGTGTTGGGTAACAAGAGGGGAGAATTACTAAAACCTGGAGATTTACACCTGGCCCTCCAATGGCTTCTCTTCTACAAGTATGGATTAGGAATCTTGGTCTTTTTTTAGAGGTTATGAAAGTGAGAAACCTTAGTGCATAAGTCTTTTAACCTGCCTCTTCTCCGAGACACTTGAGGGGTGCCTCCTGTCAATGATTTTTTACGTTATTGTTTTTTGTTTTGTTTTGTTTGCCGCCATTTTATAAGCTTCTACAGTATGCTTTACCTTTATACATGCACGCGGACGTGTATACTTGTTCCCACTTGCTTATAGGTTAGTCCCACAAAGGGTAACGGCTTCGTGGGGATAACCATTAGGCAAGCTTGGACGAATCGAAGCTCCCTGACATTCCTCAGCAATTCCAGTCGGGTGAAGGTCGTCTCGAGTTAACTCTTGCCACAGGAACACGCCCCCGGGGTCAAGTGTGTGGAGTTATGAACGACGCCTCCGTGGTGTGGTGCGCTGTGAAAAACTCTCCTGAATAACTTTACGGAATCTCCGAATGGTGTCACTCAGCGCTTTATCACCTCGCGAACTCCTCTCACGAAGAACTGATACGTCAAGCTTTTCAGTGAAGCACGCTCTGACCCTCGATACTGACCCCCCCCCCCTCCTGCGGGAAGACAAAATCGTTCTCCTAGGGGACTTCAAGACGAGAGTGGGAGCCGACCTACGATATAGAAAGAATAAACGACAGTGGACTAAAATTGCTAACGCTCTGCGCACGACCTGGTTCTTACCAAAACCGAGTTAAAATTGAAGACCCAAAATAAGGCCACCTAGATGCACCCGCGGAACAAGCACTGACAACACCTTAACAATGCAATCACACGCCGAGCAGACCACACAATGCTGGACCCATCACACACTTCTCATAACCAAATTACGACTAGAATTTAGAGCCCTCGAAGACGACAAACAGACGACTCAACTGCGGAGCCCTTGAAGTCTCTGTTAATGTGTGTCGACTGAGAGTGAAACTTGCAGAGAACTTCGACGCCATTCCCGAGATGACCGACCTTGTAGACCTCAACATCAACGACAAATTTGCCGAACTGAGATTCACCATTCACCAAGACAGCCACTCAACTCCTCACCGTCAAACACAAAGCTCACAACGAGGCTCTATCAAACCAGCAGCCCATTCGTCCTTGTCGGTGCCTTAAAGAACTTAGTAACAGAGGTGTGGTGTATGCAGAACGATTGTCACATAACTCGTTTTTACATCTAGATTTCTTAATGCATTAAAAGATACATCGTTTATTTGGAGGAATCATCAGGTATCGTTTTACTTAAATCTATAAAGGTGCATTTTTTCCCCAACTTAATATCATAAATAATAAAATAAAAAAATACGGTTTACTCAAGTGGAAATAAATGTTACCTAGTCCGTATCTCAGTGGACTCCTCAGAAACACCATCTTTGATCCACCGACTCGGCCTACATCAATGACCCGCCTCGACTAATCCTCAAACAAGGCTTTCAGACGCACCTCAGAAACCCAGTATTACATTTATTGACCATTTAATTGCTCTCCACACCTGTACCTTCACTTATATTGACCTAGAGATTAAGGTGAAAGGTGGTCTTAACTGGTATTAGTTGAGCGTGTGTTTGTGGAGGCAGCGAGGTTCATTGTGTGCCATATACCGGGCTGTGTTGACGAAGCCTAGCCACACGTGCACGGGATTGGCGTCTTTATTGTTGAGCTTGGAGGAGGTGGGGGAGCCGCGACAGGAGCCACCACCCCGACAAGACAAAATGCCCAATACAAGATAAGCTAGTGAGTAAACATGAGGCTATATAGACCCCATGAGTTATATAGAGTCGTCGTAAGGTTACCTGAGGGGGGCTGGTACTCTCTCTCCTCGTAACATTTCTTGATTCATAATGACTTAAATACGACAGGGAACAAATATTAAGTAAACACAAGTATACACGATTCTGTATATTGTATAATTTATCAACGTTTCATATAATTATTAAGCAGTGATTCATACGGATTATGATACACCAAGCAGCAATTATGAAGCAAATAATAGCCACTTCACCAGACAGTGTTGTAGCTAGTGGGTAGATTATTACGTCCTGACCGAGAGGGTAGTGGAGAGAGAGAGAGAGAGAGAGAGAGAGAGAGAGAGGGAAGAGGTACTAGAGTATGATAGAGGAGCGACCAGCAAGAGGAGGAGGAGGAGTAGAAAAAGAAGAAGGAGGAGGAGTAGGAGGGGGTACTGGAGTATGATAGAGGAGCAACCAACAAGAGAAGGAGAAGTAGGAGGAGTAGGAGAAGAAGTACCAAGAGGAGGAGGAGGAGGAGGAGAGGGTCACTGCCACTTTGATGTCCGTCGGTGTCCACTGTGTCCCTGGTGCGTCTAATGGATCCCAGGGACATGTCCAGCGGGCCTTTGATGGTGACCAAGTGTCCTCAAGGTCCCCCCGTGCACAAAGCTGAGGACCAGTGATAATACTTTCTTATGTCCTCGCTTCATTTCCCCCACCAACTCTTATTGGGGTGGGGGGGGCTTTACCCTCTGGAAGTGAAATAAGTCTTGACCCTTTGTGAATCCCGTTTGCCTCTGTCTGTCTCTGGCTGTCTGTTTGTCTGTCTCTGTCTTCTGTCTCTCTCTCTCTCTCTCTCTCTCTCTCTCTCTCTCACCCGTGTACGTAATTTGGTGTTTTACGTAAGCAAGAATTGAGTGAGAAGACTTACAGAGAGTTAAGTGCATGAGATCTAGCTTAAGACACTGATACAACCTATTTTTGTCATGGCAGTAAGCTTCAGTATCCCTTAGAGTCTTATGTGATTCTCAACTTTGATTTTATTTACTGTTTTGTGTGTGTGTGTGTGTGTGTGTGTTTTAAGATAGTGGTATTCTGTGTTCTGATTGATCTATAGTCTGTGTTATGTACGATTATGACCAGAACGTGATTTTGTAAAGTTTGTGGTCTTTATCAATGGTAATTTTACATAACTAATCATATTTTTTTTTTACCAACGAAATCTTGATAATAAGACCTAAAACAATATGTCAACAGCTAACACTTGATACACGTCGTTGAATACACTGTAAGAATACGCACATATTTTTTTTTTTTTGTTATATGAAAGGACGGCCCACAACTCCCCAGAGGCCAAACTGTCCACTAAAACGCCAGAGATGAAAACGTTTACGAGTCAATCCATCGTGTCAACCTCGGCGTCACCCATCACACACACACACACGTTGAGAGACTAACTGTATTTTTAGTCCCGATATTTCACAACCAGTCGAGTTTAATACTACAAGCTGGTGGGAATATAGTTACGATATTACTACTAGTACTAGCACCTCGTTATAATAGTAGTACTAGCTCACATAACAAGCTAGTTGGGGGGGAGGGGTCAGAGGTCATATAAGAAGGTAGCTCACTAACTGTAGGGTACTGGGTGGCGTGCGTGTTAAGAGTATTATTATATCAGCGGCCTCAGGTGCAATGGATCTCCAGTTAAGCTGTTCGAGGAAGTACCACAAGTGTTCGAGTCTTGGTCGCCGCTTTCTGCTGATTTACAGTAACAATTTCTACTGATGGTATTGTTTCTGCTGTTGTTTTTGGGGTGTGCCTTTATTATCGTAGCTACTATTATTCTTCTATTGGTTTTGTTATTACTATTACTCGTAGATCTATTATTTAAAAGTGATATTTCAACCTATTTTGAAAGTATTAACAGAGCTGACCTGACCTGACCTTACCTTAACCTTACCTTAACCTTAACCTAACCTAACAGTGACTGCTCAATCTTACACACTTATGACATTAAATTGCATTGATACCTAAATTTAATTGCCTCCACACACCTGGATATATATATCATAATTCAGGTTTAACTACTGACGAAAGAAGACCAAGAACACATCGTTTTAGGGCTGAGTCTTGCTGTTATATAATTTTTGTCCACTGCTGCTGGTATTAACCCATAGGAAAGACTAAATAGAACGAAGACCTTGGTAATCCGGTCTTTCAAGCCTGAGTGTGTGCTTGGACAGGAGATACCTTATATAAGTGTGTCTCAATACAATAAGTGTGTCAAGGAAGACGATGGTGTAAGAGATAAATACGTTACTAAGTTTTAAATAGTAATTCTGATCGGGATTCTTGGAGTAACAGAGTTAGTGTGTTCGGTAAGGTGGTCGGGGAGGAGGAGTGAAGTAAGGCGATTGTAAGTACTGAGTGCAGGTGTTTGTGTGTGAGTGAGTGAGGTATCTCTTTCAAAGCTGTTTCTCTCCATTTCATCATCTGTTTTTTTATATATAGTTATTTACCTCCTTTACCTTCCCCTTACTGTATATAATAGACAAGAAAAAGGGTAATGGGAGGTATTTCTGATGATTAGGAACGTCCAGGTAATAATATAATAAATTTCGGAAGGTAAACAAAACAGACGAAGATTAAACATAAGAAAATAAAGATAAATGATAATTAAGGGAGTGGAAACATAACAGTACCGTACCTCTCTTGGGGTCTTCCCTGGGTATAGGCGGCAGGGCTGTGTTGTGATGCTGAGGGAGTCCTAGGTGACCAGCAGCCGCACCTGGGTACCACGCCGCAGCCCACCCAGCCGCCGCAGCTCCTCCGTTGAACATCCGTAGTTTATCGTAGACGCTCTCACCGCCGGCTGCACCCACACCCACGCCCACACCTGAGCCTTGTTCCTTCTGTGCCGCCAAGTTCCTCAGTACCCGGTTAATGGATGATACCTGAAGGGGAGAAACAAGGTCCTGCTGTAGTTTCATCACATTGTTGTTGAAATTTAATTAGTGTTATAAAAAACATAGACGGGAGTATTAATCCAAGCGGGATATTATCTACTGATCGTAACGTAACACCTGGCGTAGTATTGACGGTAGAAAGTATGAATAATTATATCTTACAGGTGTTGAAAGTCACAGAAGAAAACAACCTTTTTTACCTGTCGTTGATTTCTTATTTTCTCTCGGTTTTCAGTCTCTTTCCCACTTCATTTCACCTTTCTTTCCCTGGCTCCATATTTTCCTTTTCCTTTTTGTTTTCGACCCTATCCTCTCCCATCTCTTCCGTCCCTCTTCTATCTCTTCCCATCACTCTTCCTCCTTCCACCCCATCACTCTACCTCTTCCACAACTGTCCCATCCATTCATCCCCTCTCATCTCACTTTCCTACACATGGTGGGTAGAGGTAGGGGTGTGTGTGTGTGTGTGTGTAATCGCCGCGGAACACTGGTTTGGTAGAGACTTAGGAGGGGTCCTCTGCACGCCTCCCAATCTGTGCCGTGTCTCTTGTGTTGACGATGATGACGAGGACGACTACGATCTGGCTTTAATCTCTCTCTCTCTCAGTCAACACAAGACTTGAGAGTTTTAACAGCACAAATTGCCTGACCAGACATGACTGTACCTCGGCGCTGTTTTGCCACCAAATATGAAGAGTAGTGTAAAAGACTGGTACTGTGCCCTAATGAAATATATTGAAGCCCAGACCAGGTGAAGCCCAGACCAGGTGAAGCCCAGACCAGGTGAAGCCAAGACCAGGTGAAGGTGCCAGTGAAGGTGAAGCTAAGACCAGGTGAAGCCAAGACCAGGTGAAGGTGAGGCCAAGACCAGGTGAAGGTGAAGCCAAGACCAGGTGAAGCCAAGACCAGGTGAAGCCAAGACCAGGTGAAGCCAAGACCAGGTGAAGGCCAAGACCAGGTGAAGGTGAAGCCAAGACCAGGTGAAGGTGAAGCCAAGACCAGGTGAAGCCCAGACCAGGTGAAGCCCAGTAAAACCTAGACCAAGTAAAGCCCGCAAATCCCAGACCAGAGGACAAAAGATTATAGTAGTCCCCAAGTTCTATCGGACCCTAGTTCTATTGGGCCCCCGTCATATTGGGGTCAGTTTTATCGGGCCCCAATTCTATCGGATCTTAGTCCTATTGGGCCCCAGTCTAACCTAACCTAACTTAACCTAACCTAACAAAATTAACTTAAAGGGAAATTTTGTCTCGGTCAACTAGGAGAGGTTTTCATAGAGCTGACTAACGCTTCTGGAATAGAGATGGAGAATAAGGAAGGGGGAAAGGAGAAGAGTGTAATAAAGAAGGTGAAGAGCAGGAGAAAAAAATAAATGAGAAGGAGGGAAAGAGGGAGGGTGGAGATGTAAGTGGGGAGGGAGGAGAATAAAGGAGAGAAGAGGAAGAAAATGGGGGAGGGAGGAAGATGATTACAGGAAGTGAGAGAGAGAGAGAGAGAGAGAGAGATAAGCAGTAATCAGTAAGAGAGGCAGCAGCAACAAGAGAGAGGTGATCGGCCGCTCTGTCGTGCATATTGACAGCTTCTTAAAGATGACGCGTCCTGCACGGTTCTCAACACTCCTTCTTCTCTTCCTTCTCCTCTTTCTTCCCCTCCTCCTTCTTCTTTTTCTTCCCTCCTCCTCATTCTTCTTCTTCTTCTTCTCCTCCTTCTCCTGATCCTCCTTTTTTTCCTACTTCTTCTCCTCCTTCCCCTCATCCTCCTTCTTCTCTTCCTCCTTCTCCTCCTTCTCCGCCTCTACACACCCTCTCTCTCTCTCTACCATCTTCCCTTTCTCTTTCGTTTTCTGTCCTTCTCTTCTCTATACACTCCTTTATTCTCTCTCTCTCTCTCTCTCTCTCCTCTTCCCTGGATCTATGGTCGTGTTTGTGCGTCTATAGTCAGCCTCTTGTCATTTCCGTATGTTTGAATGTTAGTCTCTGTTCGTCTATCTGTCTGTCTGTCTGTCTGTCTGTCTGTCTGTCTTGGCGTATTTGTTTATGTTCCTGTCAGTCTTTATTCGTTCATCCGTGTGTGTGTGTGTGTGTGTGTGTGTGTGTGTGTGTGTGTGTGTGTGTATCGCTTATGTGGTTGTCTGTTGGAGTATATGAGTGTGTTTGTAAGGCTGTTCCTGTCTGTCTGTCTGTCTGTCTGTACAATATGGTTTTAAGTCTGTCTAAACGAAATCCTATGAGCTGGAGTATCTGTATTTCTCGTCTGTCTGTGTCTGTCTGTCTGTCTCTGTCTGTCTGTCGCACATCTGACCCGCTACCAGGCTTATTTCTTCCCTCCAGTACACGCGGGAAGTTTTATAATTACACGGTGTTGGTGGGTGAACTTCAGACGACCCCAGAAGTTAAGGAGGAAAAATATCTCCATTATCTCAAGGTCAAGATAGAGGGAAAAAAATAATTAAGGAAAAATGTCAGTTTTTTTTTTCTTTTGAGTTGTGTTAATTACTTGTTTTTTTTCCTCAAGTGCCTTACCTGTTCTTTCCCAATTAGCTTACCTGTTTTTTTCCAAATACCTGCATGTCCTTCTTTTAATTTTCTATGTAATTATTAGCTTTATCGGTGTCCTATTTACCTATGTAGTATTTAGGTTATACCCGTGTCCTAACTACCTTGTGTATTAATTAACTATACCCTATTTATATCCCCATGTCCTAACTCTGTGTTACTAATTAGGTATACCTGTATCCTAACTACCTGTGTATTAATTAGCTATACCCTAATAGAATCACCGTGGCCAAGTGGAGATGACAGGCCCTAGTGGGGGAAGACGGGGGGGGGGAGGTGCTAAAGAAAGTGAGAGAAAGGGAGTTAATGTTAAGGAAGAAGGAAGGGAATGGGAGAGAGCGAGAGGAGGAGGATAAACAGCGAGGAGAACAGGTTGTGATGTGGGTTATGACGAGTAGATGAAGCGAAAGGGAGTAGAAGTAGACAAGAAGAGACGTAGAGTTAGAGAGGGTAGATAACATCCAAGGAGGGAGGGCAGCCAGCCAGCCTCTCGACCCTAGCCCAGGCGAGGTACCGAACGCCATTCACACCCACCCACACGGAAAACGGACGAATGTCTTCTAGTACCAGCACTCAACCGTGACTTAGTCTTCCTATAACACCCTCAACTAATTCAACTAACCCTCTAACTTAACCTAACACCAATGACCTACGTCTTAATCCTTATTCTTAACCTGATAATAAAAATCCGAACGTAAACGAACACATAATTCCATCAAATGTGGTTTTTTTTTTAGTAAATGATGGGAATCGGATGAGTGACCACGGCTTAGGTCCTGGAAATAGACAACGCTCATGAGCCCCTTGTAAAACAGGCTACAGCATTGCCTCGTCTGGTGAAGGAAGAGTCGAGTAACTTCATATATTTCATTTAGAAGTTTTTTTGGGGGTGAAGGAAGGAGGGGGAGGGGGAGGGGAAGGGGAGGGAGGATGGGGAGGAGTTATGTGTGTGGTGCCGAGAGTAACATAGCGAAGAGCTTTGGCTGGTGGTGACTGCTCAAATGGGCCCCAAGTCCTAATAGGCCCCCTACTCTTAAAAGACTCTATAGTCCTAATAAGATCCCCTCTTAATTGACCTCTCTCCTAATACTCACTATCCTAACCTAACCTAAACCTTCAATTCTACGGTCTGGGCCTACTAGGACTTGGGGCCCATTTGACCTAAAATCTTGTGCTCGATGATGTGGGTAGGTGTCTGTCTCTGTCTGGCACTGAACAGGGACCTCACTTTTCATAACACTATCCTCTCTCTCTCTCTCTCACACACACACACCACACCACACCACACCATACTGGCACTCCTCCAACGCTCACCACACAGGCACTATACATACAAACATACATACATACAGTACCTACTATAAATTAAATACACCATCGAAAAGTTAACCTGTCATTCGTCGCTCACATATACCACTAACATGAGGTCAGGTCAGGTCAGGTCAGGTCAGGTCAGGTCACTGTGTATTAAGTCTATAACTTTACCCGGTTCAGAACACCGTATATGTCTGTGTGTTGGTCGTAACTCACATCGCTACAGAATTATGGCGGAAAAAACATAAATTTCAGATATTTGAAAATTAGGGAATCATCATTTGTGGAGTGAAATGTTGGAAATGAAACCTATGAGATATTTTACGTATTTTGCTGTCAGATGAAACTACAGACCGGGTTTTAAAATAGCGTTGACTGCCAGTGGTCCACATGCTAATAAAATGATTTATGGTTTTGTGTGTGTGTGTGCGTGTGTGCGTGAGCTATTTCCCGTTTTATAACCTCAGTTTAGTGTATCAGAAAGTCTTATTTTCATGTCGGGAGGGATTCCATAATAAGCCCTCGTAATAATGTTCCAGGATTGTGCTTATTATTATTATTATTTAATCAGGTGTTATAGTTGTGTGAGATAGAGTATAATACATGCATTAAAATCTTATATTTGGAGGCATTATTGATATTAATTTCTAAAGTGAGAGAGAGACACTAACCAATAACTAAGACATTTTTAATTAGTATATGAATGTTTTACCTGTGTTAAGTCCTTAATTGCCAGGTACACGTCTCCCCTGGTCCTAATGAACCATACTAAATGTACCATAGATGTACCTCATGTACCCCAGCAGTACCCAAGATCGATCACCTTCTCAAAGACTCATCCTAATTGGTCAGAAGGTCTCCACATCCATATACGTGATTGGTTGTCTCGCGATAGGGACGGGGGCGGGGAGAGGTCCTTTCTGGGTTCAGGATTCGTAAGGATTCGTAGGTATTTTTTCAAATTAAGTAAAAATAAGGGAAGTAAACTTTATATAATCGAGTCTTTTGTGTGGTTTGTGTGCCATTCTGGTCACTTTCTTTATGACGTAACTTAAAGTGATCACAAACTTTCAACAATTCGAGTCCTGTGTTGTATCTTTGGCCATCACACACACACAC